AAGAAACAAATAATCTGTGAGATGGCTAACCTGTTAATTATATTACATGGTTAAACATACTAACATCTGTTTTTTTTCCTTTCTTCTTTTAGCTGATGGGTCTGAAAGCTTGTCATGATCGTAATATCACTCACAGGGATATTAAACCTGGTACAAAAGCTATAGACTTCTATTCTCTAGTTATATTCATACTAGTTAAATCATTTCTTGTCTTCATTTGTTCCAGAAATAACTTTTGTCAACTAGGCATGCTGACATAATTCATTGTATGCCATGCAAGAGAACATGATAATCTGCTTTGAGGATCTGGAGACAGGAAAGTGTTTGAGAGAGATTCCGTCGGAAGCAAAACACAACAAACTGAACATGTAAGGAATTATATTTTTCCTTTACTGAGATGTTGCAAAAACTTTATCTATTTGTTGTTTATTTTACTTGGAGGTTTCATGATTCTAAATGGTTCGATTAGCAAAATTTTATTATGGTTATATAGTTGGCCTCAGTGGCAGAGGCGCATATGCAGGTGTGGGATTGATTGATCCCACAGAATGTTTGCAGAGTGCCTTATAATATATCGAAATGAACCTAGGTGTTTGACATATAATCTGCAGTACAATAGTTTTAGGAAATTGACTTCACATGTACTTTATCTAGGTTTGCTGTTGGCTGAATGGCTCTTTGACCAACTATTTAGAGAAATTTCACACTCATGCATCTGGCTAAAATTTTATCAGTCTCAGCATAGAATTCTTTTCCTTGGGATCTCCATTATTCAATGCATTTAGTGAAGAACATTTCCTAGAAATTCTTTATTTTGTCTTTATTATCATTTATTAACCAAAATGATGGTTAGAGCTGATACATAAAAGGGAAATTGGATTACACATCAGTACATGACTTGCTACACTTGAGTGGCATGCTCTTGTTAGGTGAATTTGTGACCTACAGAAGCATGTTTGGCATGCTGTAGTCGTGTTTACCCACCTAATAATGTAAGAATGATGTTGCATTGCACTTCTCAAAATGTTTCGTTGTGTATGCAGGCGTCTTATTGACTTTGGCAGTGCCTTTGATGATTTCACATTGAAGCATCTTTATGATTCAGGGCCTACTCGGTGTGTGATCATATTCCTTCCTTTTCTTCCTTTTACCATTTGGTTAGAGCATACATTTTGGGTATTTTGTGCTCGAATTATTGAATATAGAATCTGTCTTATTTCCTGCATTTTGAATTTGATGCCTCTTTAGTCTTCAGTTTTCCTCCTAGAGGACCAATTACTAATTAGGGTGAACTGCTGTGTCTCTAAAAGTTCTTTTAGTACCAAATTCATTTTTAAGATTTAGGCTGTGTTCGGATCTCCAGGTTCCCAACCCCTCCCTCGTTTCTCGCGCGCACGCTTTTCAAACTGCTAAACGGTGCGTTTTTTGCAAAATGTTTCTATACGAAAGTTGCTTAAAAAATCATATTGATCCATTTTTGAAAAAAATAGCTAATACTTAATTAATCACGCGCTAATGGACCGTTCCGTTTTCCATGTGCACTGTTCCTGCTGGGAACGAGCAGCAGCGAACACAGCCTTAGTAGTACTCTGTGCTGGATTCTTGGCTACTTGCACAGCAATGCTAGTTCAAAACTGAAGCATGTGAATTGTAGAATATTCCAGATATTTAAACTTAAATACAATTTTTGGTTCACTATTTTAAAAACTTTGCACAAAGCCATTTCTTTCATTGTAAAATTAGGTTCTTAACCAATTTCAACGGTTTCCCTCCCTGGTGGGCATGTTTGATGGTGGAGAGAAAACATCTTTATTAATCAACTTCAATGGTTTCCCTCTCTGATTGACATGTTTGATGGTGGAAAGAAAACATTGTTTTAAGAGGGTTCTACCCCCTGCTTGATGAAGGATTTAAACCCAGCTTAAGTAATGGATGCAGTGTGGGGCTTTCAATTTACTTACTGTCTGACAAAGTGACAATCTATGGGTTGCATGTAAAAGTCTACTCTGCATTGTTCAATATGCTGTTCTGAAACAAGATATTTGGTGCATGACTCTAGTTTCATTTGTTCTGATTGAAACTCCAATCGATTTTAATACTATATCAGAACTCAACTCCAGGTCTGAGCAGACTTTCGAGTACACTCCTCCAGAGGCACTTCTTAATTCAAGTTGGTTTCAGGGATCAAAAAGTGCCAGACTTAAGTATGTTCACGTTCCTACTTGCTTTACTTTCACTAAGAACCAGCTGCATTGAATCTCTCATCTTGTTATTTACAATTTTACAGGTACGATATGTGGAGTGTTGGTGTTGTCATGCTGGAGTTGATAGTAGGTTCTCCACATGTTTTCCAGATAAGTGACCGTACACGTGCTCTAATGGATCATCGCCTTGAAGGGTGGAGTGAGCAAACAAAGGAACTTGCATACAAGTGAGACATTATTTTGATATTCCTGTCTGAAAATTGTGAAGGACGTTTTCTATTTCTGGATCAGTGAAAACTGTTGGTGCTGCATTTTGATTATTTCATCAGGCTTAAGAATATCAAAGTTGTTTCACTGTAAATGAAAAGAGTATAAGCTCCTGTCAGATTGTCAACCACATGGTTCTCAGGATATCCCAAAATATTCAGAAAATTACCAGACCCTTCTTTTTAGCCAATCAAAGAATTCATGACCTTTTCTGAAGTGCATGATTAACAGTACAATCCATTATTGCTGGAAATTCGATCCACCCTACTGCAAGCTACATAATTTTGGTTTTCTAACTATCTGTAAGCAATTTACCAAAATGACCTTTCTATTGATATGATGTAGTAGGTAGTAGCATGATTTAATTTGTCTGGTTTGTTTCCCTGCCAAACCTTTGAAGATGCTCTATTTATTGGAAGGGATAATTGCTTATTTGACCCTGTTTGGAAAGCTAACTACCAATCTGACCCTAGTTTTTCTAGTTTGCTTATTGGAATTACGAATTTAACTATTTCCAAATTAATTTTTCATATGGAAAGATATAGTCCTGAAGAGTATATTGTTTGACTAACTATTTCTTCTGTTCCTGTTGTAATGTTAGGTTGAGGTCCTACATGGAATTGTGCATTTTAGTCCCAGGAATTTCCTCGCAGCATCAGGGCAGTGGTGACTCTGAACATGTCAGTATCTCAACTCCACTTTATGTTCATTTAACATGTAATGATTTTTTACAATATATATGTTCATATTCTTCCAAAATGTGATTTAAATGGTTATTTCCTTTATTTACACATTGTTCATTATGGACCAAAACAATCTGTATTTTCTTAAAAAAAAAGGAAATGTAAGAAATGTACTCCCTCCGTTTCAGGTTATAAGACGTTTTGACTTTGGTCAAAGTCAAACTACTCTAAGTTTGACTAATTCTATAGAAAAAAGTAGTAATATTTACAACACCAGCATAGTTTCATTAAATCTATAATTGAATACATTTTCATAATATATTTGTCTTGGGTTAAAAATATTACTACTTTTTTTCTACAAAATTAGTCAAACTTAGAGTAGTTTGACTTTAACCAAAGTCAAAAGTCTTATAACCAGAAATGGAGGTAGTACATAGTAACTATACATCCTTGCTTTGAGGCTTGAAAGGAAACTCATTGGATATGCCGTTGTTATTTCTTTAATGTAGAATAAGCTTCCAGGAGATTGTTGCTAACAATGATTTCTTTCTCTTTGTTTTAGGGTCAGTTTCGGCCGGCTTCTTGGAAATGCTCTGAAGAATCATTTGCGCATCAAGTGAAGATCAGAGATCCTCTTAAAATGGGGTGGGTATTGTCGTTTGTTGTCCACGTCTTTTACAGTCCAGATTATTTTCATCTTTGTATCTAATATTTTTATGCTTGCTGTTGCACTCCAGCTTTCCTAATATATGGGCATTGCGACTAGCACGCCAGTTACTAATATGGCATCCTGTAAGTTTCTTGAACCCCAATCTGTAAAGAAAAATGGTATGCTTGCACCCTGTATATTTTTTGAAGAATTTATAAGTACAAGTGCGGCAGAATAATATCTTACATTCTAGAAGCACACAAGAGTGGAGATACAATTGTGAAAACCACCACAGTTCTGAATCATTTCTGTCGGGAAAGTTCAACTCTTCCTGTGCATCTCTAGATAAAACTATGACCTGAAACATTGTACATAAAGATACTAAACTGTGGGCATAATGCATTGTATTTATTATGCTTCTCCTTGAAATATGAAGATGACAATGGAATTAAGAGCACCCATTTCACGGAATGCACCGATGAGAACTACACACAAGCTACTGCCTACTGTTTCTGTTATTTGCATCCTGCTAAACTTGAAAATAATTATGTTAATGCCACTATCAGGCCAGCCCATGCCTTGCAGTTCTATTTTATGACCACTTTATTCATTGATGTGGTTCCATCTCTTAACATATACTTACCCTTGTCTTGTAGGAGGACCGCCTAAGTGTCGATGAAGTATTAGCTCATCCTTACTTTCAGGAGCCACCGTAACCGACACATGATAAAAATCTAACGTACTCGTGACCTATAACAAGTCCTCCAAATTTTACTGCTGAGTGTACATTTGCTTGGTGAGTTCGATCGAAGGAATTGGTGAATCATTTGTAGATGCCAACCCGATTGTCTTACCAGCTGTTGTGAATACCACATGAAAAATAGTTGTACGCAGCAATATAGGTAGATGCAGGCTATGTAAGGATCAGAATCAGCTGTACAGATTATATGCTCAACCGAAATGAAGAAGAATGTTACAACTTTCAGCTGTGTTGAATTGTGTGCTTAGTCTCTTTGGAAGAACAAAGATTGTATACATAATTTTTTTCTACTCCCTCCATCCCATCCCAAAATAAGTGCAATTTTACACTATTCATATCCAACGTTTCACCGTTCGTCTTATTTGAATTTTTTTTATGATTACTATTTTTATTGTTATTAGATGATAAAACATGAATAGAACTTTATGTGTGACTATTTTTTTAAAAAAAATTCATAAAATTTTCAAATAAAACGGACGGTCAAACGTTGGACACGGATTTCTACGGCTGTATTTATTTTGGGACGGAGGTAATAATATAATTATGCAATACAACATTATTCCTTGTTCAATCATGGCTTGTAACGCCAGATTGTTACATGAGGTTTGAATATTTCTGTGATATTCCATCTGTTCATGATATGATGGAAGAGTCATCAGTCACACAGCATAATACTGCACCAAAACTGATGAAACATGGCATGATGTAACCAATTTTCCCAATTCAACAAACAAATAGCACACTGCACACACTACATGAAAAATTAGGCATACCACAACTTTGCCTCTCACACTCCCATGAAATCAAATGGCATCCAAAATGATTCCAGATACAATTTCTGGCTGAAGAGAATCAAAAATCGTTTACGTGCTCATCATGACTCGCTTGAACTCTTCGTAATCAACTTGCCCGTCGTTGTTGCTATCAGCTGCCTTCATCATATCATCAATCTCATCTTCTGTCATCTCCTCTCCAAGACTAGCCATCACCATGCTTAACTATGGACATGAATCGACCAATTTCTTAGCTACAAATTCCAATTCGCAAGCTGATAAAATTGCGCAAAAACCATACCTCATTGCGTGATATGAATCCATTATCATCCTTGTCGAAAATCCTGAAAGCCTTCCTCAGTTCTTCCTCATCATCACCCTTGTCATTCTCCTGAATTTAAAATGAAAAGAAGAACTTCAATTTTCCCAGCTATTTACAGGCAAGATCATAAAAAAGATACTTGTAATTTAATTCTTCATGTTTCAGTTGCATTTTACATATAGTTTCTTCTTCATTATTGCGAGGAACTCGTCGAACTCGATCGTGCCATTGCCATCCTCATCGACGGCCACGATCATGTCTTGCAGATCCTCCTGGCTTGGCGCCATGCCCAGGCGTGTGAGCACGGTGGCCAGCTCCTCCCTACTTATGCAACCTAACATCAGACATACAACCGTTTCAGGTTACAGATTTTTCAGTGCAGATCATTTCATCATTCTTCAGAGTCAGACTAAGTGGAAAAAGAACAAAATGATATCCAAAAATATATGTACAATTAACTGCAGATCAAGTATTCAAGCCCATGCATTCACAATATGAAGTAAGAAAAACTTTGCAATCAAGTCCAGACCCAGACATTACATAAACTGGTTGTGCTGCTACATTCAGAGGCATTCAGCTGCAGAGTCCATGGAATTCAGTGTTGTCACGGAGAAACCTGAATTTTAGGATGTAAAAACGCATTGCAATGCAAAATTAGAGGAGGAAACATGAAAAACATACCGTCATTGTTCTTGTCGAACAGCGAGAAGGCGTCTCGGAAATCGGAGATCTGCTGCTCGTTGAGATGGCTCTCCATGAACTTTCGAATTCAAGCCTTGAATTCGATCGATGGTATGTGTGAAACTTTCTTGTCGTAGATGTGTAGGAGATATATAGTAGCAGGAGATGTTTCTTGCTTGTTTTTGCCTTTTGATGGCATGAAGTGTGAGGCATGGAGGAGCTTGAAGAATTCTCGTCAGAGAAGAGGGATCAGGGGTGAGAGAATATGTGCATATTCGTTTTGTACTAAATTGGGGTTTAATTATATCTCAACCTTCATTAGTCAAACCTAGTTTATTTCACTTCTGTTTTCTTTTAGGCTCATTTGCTACAGATCACCAGATTGCAAAGTCATGTTTGCCAATTTTTTGCCATGAAGAGCAGAATGTCAACGGGCGTCGGATGTCGACTGGTTTATAGGTTCGGCTAATTGCAATTCCATTGCACAATAACCTATCTGACAGTGGCATAAGCTTCTCTTTGTTTGGCCCATTATCTTTGTGGATTCTGGTCGTCTCATTTTTTAATTTTGAAGAACATGGAAGCACTTCTCCAGAATTATATTTTTGTATGAAGAAACGTGACTGTGTCACCTGCACTGACGATGTCCTACGCGCTTGCGTGGCAGGATGGCACATGTAAAACTGTTAATCAGTTGCATTTCAGGAGCAAATTTGGCATTAGGTTCAGTGGCTGTTAGGATTTGAAATAAAATTTGAATTCAAATCCCTGTAAAATTCCTTTCTATTCAAACAATCTCAAAGGGGAGCAATTCCTGAAACTAAAAGAAGGAACCTTTCTATTGCATAGTAGCATATGAACTTTTGATAACATAGCTCGGTACAGGTATTGGCATAAAACCGGACAACTGAAATCAGCCATTCAATCTTATTTTACAAGCATGGGCTCTTCAGCAAGATCAAAAATGAAAGATGGCCATGTAGCCAACTATTTTTTATGATAGCAATTGAGTAGATTCTATTCTAAATATCTAATCTTTTTCAGGCTTAGTGTTTTTTGGAGTCTGCCTCTTCACAGACCGGAGCTGCACCGAGTTGTTGAAGCAGTGCTCGAAGCCAAAGTGCGGAAAACGCTCATACCAGGTGTCCTGGGGAACGTGTGTGTCCCAGTGCTCACCGCTGCTGCTCCTGCCATACTTGTGCACCCAACCAGTACAGTTGTGATGCTCGCCCCAGGTGCGATTCCAGCGATCCCCGTACTTGCCTGCCCACCAGGTCTCCCCTTGCTTCACTCCATGGCCATTCGGGTCGAAATGCTCATCCCACTTATCGCCCCACTTTGACCACCCGTCACCCTCTGATCGTTCAGCCCATTTGTCAGTGTATTTTGCACTACCTCCGCAGCCATCATACTTCTCGCCCCACCTGTAGAGGATGAGCCAGAAATGTATTGAGTTGATTGATATGACTAAGCTGTCGTATGTTACAACAGTACTAGCATAAATGATGTATGTTGCAAACAATCTGATTGCTGAAATATTTGCTCTTTTCATTTCTTTTAACAAGAGGAAATGTTGGTTCTTGAATGTGATATGACTACGGACAAAAGCAAGATAAGAGTACGGACAGAAAGCATTCTGAAAGAAGCTATTTTAGCAGCTCTTACCTTTCATGCCAAACATGAGCGTGACCAACATCTAGTGGTGTATTTGGATCCAAGCTGCACCATTTATCAGCCCATTTCTCAGCTTTACCGCTTGAATCGTAATGCTCCCACCACTGCTCTTGCCACTGCTCCCCTTTACCATTCTGTCCCCACTTGTCTGCCGTCTTCTCCATGTGCATAACACCACATGTGAAATCCTGCAAATATTAAAAAAAAAATGCAGTACTCAGTTATGTTCTAACGAGTAATGGGGCGATCATTCAGTACAAATCATATTACATCTGAAGTTTAGTAAATCAGTATTGTCGGAACAGAAATACTTCAGTAAATCAACGCATGACAGTGAGACACATCTCTCTACACATGACTGCATCACTCAAGCCAGATAATCTTATTTCAATAGAAACAATAGCCATAATTTAATGCTTATGATGTAACATTGTAACCTGTAGGTTTCATGAACAAGGAACAAATGGTTGTATTGTACCAAATGAGACAGCAATTTACCTGCCACATAGACTCTTTCCAGTATTCCCGCCAAACATTCCCTGTAGCATCACGACCAGACTTCTCAGAACCTAGCTCTTTGTGATCAAACCGGTCTGAAGCCTCCCAATACTTGTCCTCCCATTCAACAGCTCCATCAGCACTAACTCCCCTAATCACGGTCCACTTGCAAGTTACACCATCAGGCCTTTGTTCTACACCTGTCTCCTTCCACCACAATGAACCATCTGGACGCACCCCATGTGATGACTTCTCGTCGCTTGCACTAAGAGCTCTAGCTGCCTCAGCTGCGTTTTTCGAAAACTGATCTTCGAATGTCTCCTCTGCATCAGCAGTAATACTGGGCTCGGATTCCACATTTTCAGGCTCAGCAAACGACTGGAAGGGAGGAAGAGATCGGTCTTCCTTCTTGAAGAAAGAGGTTTCGAACGGGAGCGATAAAATGTCTTCTGACTGTTCCTTTTCCATCAGCAGATCAGGCTGACCGGCGAAGGAGTCTAATTTCTCAGATGGTTTTAACCCAGTGTCGATTTCTCCTAGTTTAGTGCTATTTTCCACAGGTGGTAACCACGACCAGAAGTCCGGGCCTGGAGTACCGAGCTTGGAACTTGACTTCTTGAAAGGAGATGAATCACCAGAGTCCGGCACTGAAACTGATTGCTAATGTCAGATTGCAGATTAAGAACAGCATGGTTTTACAATACCTTACTAACTAAAATACTGCAGTTAATTGTGTATCCCGCATAAGAATACATGTATGTCTGAAAAAAAAATGCAGATGCAACTTGCAACTAATAGAAATGCTGATAATTTTTTTTCTATATGCTTAATGTCTACAGGTGTTATTTTGGTGCATTTATGCTACTTTTAGCTACATTTATTGGACAGCGGGAGTAAGTCATTTGGTGGAATCAGCATCGCACTTCGACAATAAATTCATGTTTGATACCCAGATAAATGAAGAAATATGCATGGATAACAAAACAAGATGCCAATACTGCAGGCACCTGTGTGTTATCTGCACAGCTACAATTTCTATTGCCAATGGCGAGACAAAAATGGCAGTGCACACAATCAAAATTTTCCATAAATATCTAACAAGTTCCCTAAATCCATTCACCTATCAATCGAATCAAACACTTTTTTTTGTTGACATAAATCAAACACTTCTATTATACACATAAAAAAGATTAAAAATAGATTCCCAGTTTTTCAACTATTCCTCAGGAAGGGATTTATGGTTGGATTGTTAGTTTCATACATTCTGTCAGATTAAAAAGGAGTTGTCCTTTTTAGCTCAATTATCATGTTAGCCACGGTCAAAAAGCTAGTAAAAAAGAAATCGAAAAGATAATGCGTTCACAAGAAAGAGTACTTGTGATCTTTAAGCAACCTCACGTGCACCAATCACCCCATACCTTTCGCCGCCTCGGTCGCCGTCTCCGTCACCGGCGGCGGCGGGGATGCCCGATCCGACTCCCCCGGAGCCGTACGGGAAACCAGGCCACTCTCTGATCCGGCCTGGATCGCGGTCGCCGCCGGCTTCTGCTGCTGTTCCCGCTCCTGCGGCGGCGTGGAAGGCGGGGACGGGGGAGGCGGGGGCGGCGGGTCCTTGAGCACGGCGCGCGCCGCCGCCAGCGCCGCGGCGGCGCGGTCGATGACCTGCCGCCGCTGGACGCGGTCCCGCTCCTCGCGCGGCACCCGCAGCATCTCCTCGAACCGCGCCGTCCTCCTCTCCACGTCCCCCGCCGCCGCCGCAGCCTTCCCCTCTCCCTCCTCCTCCTTCACGGCGGCGGCGGCGGCGGAGGAGGATTGCTGGAGGCGGTGCGCGATCTCCGCCGAGCGGCGCTCCCTCTCCACGGCCTTCTTCCACATGTCCAGGTACGACGACCCGCCATCCCCCCCGCGGGCGGTGGCGCGGACGCAGGTTGAGACGGCGGGGCGGCCGCGGAGGCGGAGGCGGAGGAGGAGGTGGAGATGGCGGGGAGGGGCGGTGGGGGCGAGGTAGGCGGCGTGGGTGGGCGACGCCATTTTTGTGGGTTTCGAGGTGGAGTGGAGGCGAGTGTTGGGGGGAGGGAGTGGAGAGGTAGAAGAAGAAGAAGAGTGTGGAGGAGATGGAAAGCGTGGGGGGTGTGGGGCCCACAGTGGGTGCTGACGTGGAGGCGCGCGAGTGGAACGTGGGGGAGCTCGTGGGGCTGACACCTGGCGTTTTTCGGTCGAGTGATTCTAGACCGTTGGTTCCGTACGTGGGCCGGGCCGACTGATTTGGGCCGTCCTGTACTTGGGCCTGGAATCCATCCCGTTTGATCAATTTTAGAGTAAGTTTACTTTTGGTGTCTCATCCCTTCACCGCCGTACCAGGTATAACTCGTCTCCGAACTTGCAAGACTGTATCAGCTTCCATCCCAAGGTAGTATAGCTTCCGGTTTCATCCGACGTGACGCTTTGACTGCAGTAGCTGCGCTAAGTCAGCGTGGGATCTACACTGGCCCCACATGTGAACAACCAACTCTTTCCTCCTCTCTCTCTCCCCCTCTCCCCTCTATTCCCCATCCTCACTAGGCCAGGAGGCAGGGTGCGGGCGGGAGTAGGGAGGAGGGCATCGCACTATAGTTAGCTGCCTCCCTCCCACCATCGTCGTCGTCATACGGCCAACTCCCTACCGATAAGCGTGTAGATCGACGCCGCATCAAGGATGGTTGGCTGTTAACGGTTGGCCGCCACGCCATTGGTTGTCCAAGCCAGTGAACAGGAGCTCCACATCTGCACCCGCTCCATGTAGGCGGTGCAGCGCTCGTGGATCCAGACTTACAAGTGTAGACCACGGACTTCAACTGAACTTGCCAGAGTATTTCCGTGGTTTGCGTTGATTGAGACGAAGGCGTCCGACCGCCGTGTCCAGGCCAACTCCTCTGCATCTCTTACCACGGCAAACCTATCCATGCCATTGAAAATTTGTCATTGGCAACATGATCCAATCTAATAGCACCAATAACATTGGCGTCATGATCCAATCTAATAGCACCAATAACATTGGCGTCGTCCTCCTCGTCTCTCATCGAAAGCTAAGTCCCTGATGTAAAAGGCGACAGCGTCGCCAATAACCTTTTTGGAAAAAAAACTAGAAAAGACCTATTTGTAATTAAAAGAAATAAAAACAACTTATTTGTCAAAATAAAATATTTAGAAATAGTTCCTCGGCGTAAGTGTTGTTGGCTTCAAGGACCTATTTATAAATATATATATTTTATTACAAATAGATTTATTTTAATTTTTGTTACAAATAGATCCTCAGCGTCAGTGCCATTGACGTCATCAGATTGGTCCACGGCATCAATGATATTGATGCCAAGTAGTCTATATCTGAAATAAGTATTTTTCAGGATCTATTTATTGTAAAATAAGTTTTTAAAACCGATTTCAAAGTAAAAAATCCAGTTCGTGAGCGGCAGACAAGGTGGGGTAACGGCCCGCGGGATGTGTGCGAAACACACAGAACATTGTAGTCCAAAATGGGAATTAGTATGCATTTTCATCTCAAAATGAATTGAAAGACGTGCAAACTTAAACTTACATTGTACCCAACAGCTGATTACTGCACTTACACACCGCTACACTGTTGGCCCAGCCACTCACTTGCACACACACAGCTCTCTCCCTTTCACTCGATGAAACACACACAAAGAAGATGAACAATACACAGTTTCTTGTCGCTGCACACCAGCGAACCACCACACACTTCACTTTATATTCTCCACACACTTAATCACACACTGATTACACGCTTGAAATAGCACACACGTTCAGCAGCTCACTAGCCACGTTTTTGCGGCACTAACCGGCCACCACTCACCTGACTTAGCCACTAATTAACCACTTCTGTCCATGCATGCAGCCCTCATCTCCTTGCATGTAGAGCATCACCTGGTAACTAACACACATGCATGGAGCTAATCCATCCACCATCCATGAGACAGCTCCAGCTAATTGACTCGGCTACCACAACTCCAGGCCAACGTGCACCTGTAAACTAGGACCTTTTGCATGCATTCACTAGCATGCATATCAAACTGACTCAACGCACTCACATGTACATGCATATAACTAGCACACACACAAAATCTAAACAACAAGATTAAGTCTAACATACACGAACGGATACACGGGACGCAGCTACTACTAGCTAGGTAAGTTTATTTGAGAAAGTAGATCGAGTTTGATATCGCATGTACCATCTGATGAGCGCGAGAGTGACATACGATATGCGTATCATAATTCAAAAGCTTTCCTCTCTCTCTCTCAGACATGGGGATTATTCTGGACATCGCCTTCGGTTTCGTTGAAGCAGCAGCGGTAGGGGAAGAAGAAGGCGAAGATGGCCTCGACGATGAGCAGGATCATGACCCAGGCGGCGAGGGCGCCCCACCATGGCGTGAGAGGAGCAATGCGGAGGAAGAAGAGGGTCGACATGGCCATGTAGATGATCGCCATGGCTGCCCCGAGGCGGAAGCGGCGCAACCTGCCGCCGCCGGCGCCGGCGCCGGAGACGATGATCACACCGCGGCGTATGATGAGGAGGTAGCGGCAGAGGTAGAGGAGGGGCACGTCGACTAATGCAACGGCCGCGAGTGGCTCCGGGCAGGAGATGACAATCGCAATATGGACGGCGATGAGGAGAAGCGCGCACGCGGTGATGAGCTCCATTTAGTTCCTAGCTAATTAAGCTCGCCGCCAAAACTAAGCTAGCTAGCTAGCCCGGTCTCGATGCCGAATGATTCTTCAAGCCCAATTTGGTGAGTTCATATAGGCGTAAAAGCATCTATGCGCTTCACTTTTTCTAAAGGCGCTGAAAGAAAAGGGTGTTTGACCGACGTAAAGGGCCACGAAGAGAGAATATTGGAGCTGACGACATGGCGACGAAATCTGTAAAGAATATTGAAAGTGTCCCTTTCTGTTTTCTCCACTCCAGGACGCTGCATGTGAATCCACCATGGACCTAGACAGATTGAATCCACCATGGATACTGCGAATATGGCCACATGTCATCCCCTAGCTATCTTCTTCCTCCCTCTTCCAAGATCCCCTCTCCCCTCTCCCCTCTCTCCTCTCTCTTTCTCTCCCTATCTCCTCCACATGGACGTAGTCGGAGGCCACTATGGCGGTTAAATATATTATTTGAATTTCAGCTAGCAATATATATTTGGATTGTTTTCTATTATTACTATTTCGAGTCTTTCCCTATTATAACTCTTGTATTTTTCCCGCTTTATATACTTATGTAACCAGCACAGGAAGGGTGCAACAATCCGTTGTACCCTCTGTGTTTGTAATAACTCCATAATAGTAATCGCATGTCAACGGACGTAGTTTTTTTCTTTCTATAAGGGTTTTCTGGGTAAAATTTTGTTTCTTTGTTGTGTATCTATCTTTATAACAACACCTCCCTCATCATTCATTCGTCCTCATCAGCAGTCAATTAATCACCACCACGAGCGTGCCCAGTGCCATTAAGCTTTCCCTAATATCTATCTATTATATACTAAAAATCCATGAAACTTCCTACAAACGCTCCTAAGTCGCCACGTGGCATTCTATAATCTCACCGTCGATTTTCTTTTAAATCGGTGGACCCATTAATTTTAACCATTAGATCTCCATTAAAAAAAATAAATCTGGCGTCCCTACTTTTTTTTAAAAAAAATTGCCATATTTGCTCTAACTAATAATATATAGAAAAACAAAGAGGATAACACCGTAGACAAGAGGTCTGGATCGGCAGGGAACGTTACTATTATTTTTTTCTTTTTTTTTTCCGGCGGCATACATACGTACTCCACGTTAGTATTGTTTTTTTTCCTTTTTTTTTTGCAAACAGTACTTTTCCTTTACACCTTCTGAAAACAGTACTACTACTCCGCACATCGTACGTACACTAGGGGAGCTTAGGAGGTAGTGTTAATAGATATATAAAACCACATCTTACCGATTTAAGTGAAAATTCACAGTTAGATTTCTTTTTCTTTTTCTTATGTTTTTTAATAATTCTTTTAATTGAGAGATATGACATGTGGTGACCTACAAGCTTTTATATGAGTGTCACGTGACAGCTTACTAGCGTTTCTAAAAAATTTAAGGGACTTATATACTAAAAGTTAATTAAACTTCCAATAAATACTCTCAAGCCGCCATATGACCTTCTACAAACGCTCTTAAATCACCACGTGGTATTCTATAATCACACCGTCGATTTTCTTTTAAAATGGTGGACCCGTTAATTTTAACAATTAGATCTCCAATGCAAAGAAAATAAATCTGGTATCCCCACCACCAACACCTTACGTACATAAGGTAAAAAAAGGTAGCACGTACTCCTTCCATCCTCCGAATCTCCCATCCTCTCCTATTTTCTAGCTAACTTATCCTATTTTCTCATTAACACTCAATATATCAAAAAAAATTCGGACATCTAAATGATCACGACTCTCAAGTTATAATTTTATTCTTAGTTTTTGTCAATTGTTGTGTTATTTATAATTAAATATAAAATTCAAAATCCATATTACTCATATTTTCTTATCTAAAAAATTAGATCGTGTTGCCGTTCTAACTACAAATGTCAGGGCCTAATGGTACGCCCATAAACACTTCTAAGTTGATCTCGCCACGTAACAGTCTAATACATTAGAAAAATCTATAAGTATGACAAATGAAAATAAAACATCTAACCATCGCTTTCCACTTAAATGGATGGATCCACTATTTTATATGGTTAGATCTATCTTTAAAAGAAAATCCCAAAACCCCCTCCCGTTCCTCCCATTCCTCCGATTCCTCTCTCCCTACCATTCCTTCTCTGTTCTTTCTTTACCTCCATAGAAACTAAATCCAACATTATCTTTGTGATAAAAAAAACTCCCACAAATGGATTCCGCCTAACAAGTCTAACCAGTTTCCCCTGTGTCATGTGCTTTTCTTCTCTTTCTCCTCAAGCTAGCACTTATAGAAACAACGTAAACTAGACTTTAAAACACTCATAAAATTTTAAATCATATATTCATTTATGATATTTCTACACTATTGTAATTTTCAATTAAATCAATAATTTAATATCTGTATTGACTTACATTGTGGACCATATCTATCCATCTTTAAGCCTCCAATAAATAAAATAGAATACTAAACTTTCTCATTAAAAAATTAAAATATATCACCTTATGTTTTTCATAAACGGTTAACCCATTATTTATACCATGCTAGACATCTAATCACCTTCTTCCAACTCCTTCTATTTCAGATTATAAGTCATTTTAAATTTTGTCAATGTGAAATTACTTGAATTAGTTTATAAAAAACACAGTAATATTTTCAACACAAAACAATCATATTATAAAAACATATTCAATTTTGAATTCAATAAAAATAATTTGGTGTAGTAAATATTGATATATTTTTCCTCAACAGTGGAAGTAGTTAATTTCTCTTAACATGCATATAGGGGCTATTTACTTATACTTGATCATAATTAGATGCACTTTTATAAATAAATGATCTTTTTAGAGATAAATAAACGTTCCTAATATGATCATAATATCTAAATTATACATATGATATCTGATGTCACTAATAGATTAGAGAAAAAGCTTGTAATTATATCATTTTTTCATGTCATAACGTGTACCCCGTCTAGGATCTATTTGTCATATACAACACATTGAAAACATTTAAGGGATACCTTTATCTCATGCCAAGTTGTATAGCCTTAACCCACTTATATTTCCATTCTAGATTGCAGAGATCAAAATATTTAAGAGATGCTTGATGGAATGGAAATCTATAAAAAAATAACATGATAAAAATAATTGAAGACTGAATTTTTTTTCCTAAATTTAACATTTTTTTTAAAAAAATTGATACCCATCCTAAATAGCAATGTTTTAATATTTTTGGAGTACTGAAATAAAGAAAATAACTAAAATTTTAAATAAAATATAATAGAAAATTTGAATTTTTCTGTATTATGTTGGAAACAAAATCTAACATAATTTCAGTTCAAAGTATACAACCCTAAACTACAACTTGGGAGCGATAAAAGTCTTATTTTCTAATATATTTTCTCATTGAGAAAAACATTTACCGCTAAACTGTTAGTTTCATACTGCAATACTATATACATACAACTAAATCAATATTTCAACATATTCAGCTCATAATTATATGTAGGCAATACTATATACATACAACTAAATCAATATTTCAACATATTCAGCTCATAATTATATGTAGGCAATACTATATACATACAACTAAATCAATATTTCAACATATTCAGCTCATAATTATATGTAGTCGTATTAGGCATATTTTTAATAGAAAATATCTTCAATTAATATATCCTAAAATTCATAAAGACATATATATTATACAAAAGAAAATTGTTACTCAGAGTTTAGAAAGTACAAAATTAAGTTATGCTTAATATTAAAAAAGAAACACATTATGTACAAATGATATATAGTTTCATATATATTTTTTCTTATAAAACCAAAACTGCATTGTTTTAAGTAATTTTAGTTTACAATTTATACGTCGGCGATGGTTACTAGCATTCAGAGAAACACCACACAAATTATTGAAAAATTAAAGATATTTACAATAGAGTAATCATAAATATTCCTAATCAAATTTCTAACACAGTTAAATATGATGCCCGCGCATATGCGCGGGCTACCTTCCTAGTTTTAATAAGGTTTGATACGATGCTACAGAAAGCATACTAATTTTGTGGTTGTTTGGTTAGTGACTAAGGTTGCCATGCTTAAGGTTAGATGTTTGCTGATATTGTGGCATGCCTAACTTTGTGGCAAAATAGAGTTGTTTGGTTGATACTTGATAAACAAAAGTGTGGCAAATTTGTTAAGGGTATTGTTTGGATGACTACCACATGACATGCCTAACTTTGTGGCAAAATAGTAGCTGTTTGGTTGGTGCCAAAGTTGAATATGGTTACCCCCAATCAATTAGATGGTGAGAATTACCACCCCAGGATTAGTGTGTAAAAACATTGTTGTTGAATGTTCTATTCAACAGTTGTCCTTATCAATCAATTTATAAAAACCAGATTATAATACAGATATTCCAATTAAACACAATCATTTTTTAATAATAGATATTCCCTTGACCAATTAGACCATACACATAACAAAAATAAATCAAACTATTACAAGTGGACAACAATACTCAGACACAAATGTACATAGAAAACCACATCATTAGCATAAATAAAAATATCATAGGTGAAGAGGAATACTCAGTCACTAGAGAAATTTTCATAACACATTCAGAGCATAAGGTCCATACTTTTGCATCATTGCTGTATAGTGATAGTTGTTCTAATAACCAAACGTAGCTCCCAGCTTGAACCTAACATATTCACATGCATCATTTCAATATAAGCTAATTAGTTTGCCCATATCTAATCTAATCCTTTCCCAAAAGTAACTACTTGTTCGGACCTAAGATATTTCATAAGGTTCCAATATAACTGATTAGTACATCTATTGCAACTTAGCAAAAGGTCAGCAACATACTCGAATGCTGGCAGTTAGATCCATTTAACCTACACACCATCTCGGTCGCACATGAAATGGTACACCTGTCTCCAAAGTTGTGTCACAAGAAGCAGCAAGAAATCCTCGCACCCCCTCTTTCTCCTGGCGTCCCAAATAATTTCCAACAACAACCTTATCTTTGGAACCAATGGGTAATGCATCCATCCTCTTCCACATTGTAGCATAAGGGTC